TGAACATATATTTTCTTTCAGTGCTTTGCGGTCTGGTGGTGGTAACTCCCTTCGAAGAGCTGTACAACAAATCCTTTCTGGCAACTGCAACTCCAGTGGCAATGATTTGTAACCAAATGAAGTACCTGTTTGTTCAAAATAAGTGTTTGAACCAAATGAAAGGAAGAGTTAGGGATACTTCTGCTGCTGTGGAATGCTCATTTCTTTGTTCTACTCTTCCCTTGGTCCCTCTGTTCAGCTCTAAAAAGGCTCTTCCCTTGCTCAGTTCTAGGGTAAAAAGGGGTATTGGTCACTGATAAAGGACACACTCTAAGTACAATACACTACAACTCTTCAAACATTACGTCCACCTATGGTACTTTGTATGTCATACTCTCACTCCAAGACCACCTTGCTTACAGATAGTCATTCACTTGTTCAACTTAAACAGCATGGAAACGACAACGGTCACAGGCTGCTCAACAAACAGCCTTGGTCTTACTTTAATACCATACTTCTAAGCTTCTTGATATTAGATGCCTAAATATTTTCAAATGCTTTCAAAATGGTTATTCCGATATATGACTGGTATACTGCTAATGTCAAATAAGCAGTATGATGTTTGTCAGCTTCCTGTTCTAGCATAGCCAATGCCATTGAGCTGTTGCTTTTTAAAGATATTCCCATGTATAGTTTTTAGGCTATCCTCATGATAAGGGTTGCACTCCTGTGATTTCAACTCTGCGGGCATACATAAACTATTTCTGTATTGTTTTCGGATTTATTTTTGAATGGTCTTAATACGGACACAAGAAATAAAGAAACAAAAAGTAAAACTGAGCTTACTCCATGTTTACCTCTATTTGAGTTTTGTACAGTTTATATGAATCTGCCTATTCAGGGTAAAAGACATGTCATATGGAAGTCGAGACAAAAAATATAGAGTTTTTGCTATTAATCTTCCATCCAATATTCTAGTGGAGCCATTCCAGTACCTACAAATACATAAAAATTTGGTATTGTGTATGATTAGACTTGCTAATCAAGTTGTATCTTTATCCCAATGCATATTTACTAGCAACGATAAGGTTCTTTTTTAAGTTATGCTGTTCTGTCATTGAGAAAACTGGAGAAGTTACTGTCACTTCAGGTAGCGTTTACTCCTGGATGGAGTAAATCTTCTGTTTCAAAATTGTCTGAGCTGACTAAAATATGTGGTATGCTGACCTCCAGGCAACCCGTAAGAACCTGCTGTTTCTCACTCTTCCCTGCCATCTCTGCCAACACAAATGCAGAGGGAATATCTAATCCTGGGATACTCAGCTGCATACATTTTGCTCACAGACATGTAGTATCTCTTACATTCTCGCTGGGAATCCCGTCCTTCACACTATTCTCCTGGCATGGCTGGTTGTTCCAGTTGCGAGGGGAGTAAATAGTGCCTGAATGGCTTTGGCAAAACTACACAGTGGAAAAATTTAACCAACGGTAAAAATGGATGTATTGTCACATGGGTAAAATCATGGTGTACAGAAGCACCAGAATTTAGAAAGTGCTCAAATAACCGTTACACTTCTTTAACTCGCACAAAACCAGACACAATAGCTAGGCGCATTATTATGGTAAAAGTAGCAGGTTCTGGGAGAATCAGAGTAAGGCAAATCACTGTCATAAAAGATAAATTTCCTCCTGTATTACATGTGGATGCACCCTTGCAAGCCTTTTTAAAAAAACCTCCATATTGTATGTATGAAAATGCAGCTGTTGATGAAGTCAGAGCTACTGAAGGGCACTAATTTCTTTGCAACTGTGTGTTAGCTGCATTTCTTTCTCCATTACTTTCTTCTTGTAAGAACCCCAGCTGATGTTTGGATCAGCCATTGGAGACGGGCACTGTAAGTTTGTAAATTTTACAGTATTGTAATGCTTTGTGACTCAGGAACTATGAACAAATTCTCTGTTATTCTTTAAATACTTACTGCTGCACTAAAGTACCAATTAGCTGAACAACTGTCTTGCTCTGCATCTTTTGCACTGTTCTTAAAACCACCTGTAGAAGAGGTGAAATCCTGGTCCTGGGGAGGCTAAAGGAGGCCAGACCTCATCCATGAAAACAGGGTCTCAGAACAGAGTAATGCTAGGGTACCTCGTAAGAAGCTCAGCAGTAATTTATAAACTCATTGACATGGATATATAGAAATATTTCAAGTTTGTCAGAATAAATCCTACTATTCATCATCAGCATAGTTATAGCCTTTATCAATCATCCACACTTCAGTCACCTTGTTCATTCTCATACTCTGCTGATTCAGCTTTAAATTTTATATTACTGATAGAGTCTTTCAAAAAGGTCACAAAAGTGGTAAGGACACTATGGTTCTGTCTAATGGATCCTCAGTAACTACTCCTTCTCCAGTTAACCTCATTTCAGTCAAATTAACTACCCTGCACAAAAATTTGTATCCCCATCCTTTGGATTAACACTGGAAATGATCATCAGACTAGTGTGGAAGAAATTACATTGAAAAGAAAAATATCAGCAGCACCAAGTTTTGTCAGTATTTCATGTCTTCTATACTTTGTGCTCCAAATTTGGGGTTGGGTAGTTTTGAGGGTCTGGTCCGCTATGTGGGAGCAGCAATGGGGTTACTGAAAATGTGGGACAACCAAGGGAGCACATTTGACACAACGCAAAATGGATGTTTTTCCACCTGCAACCTAAACCAGAACTTACATGACTATTTTGTTCCTCAATCAAACATTGCCAAGACATAGGTTAAACATTAGTTCTGAAATATGGCATATTTAGTCCTTTCCATCTATATTGCCTGTAGCAGCTATAGGCAATTAATTCTTGAACTGGATCCAGTCTTGATCTCTTTCTAGAAAAGCTATGGCAACTGTGAAAAGAAAAATAATTTATCCATATTTATGAGCTCATTTCCAATAACCAATTGAATTTTAACATTAAAACAAGCAATACAGTATATTTCATTAAGTACTGTTACAAGTAACTACGTGTGTTTATGGATCCACACTGTTGAAAAACTAAGAATTAATTTAACCTCACAACAGGTATGGGCCAATTTGCTATATATTATACTAGAGCAAAAGACCGTTATGCTTGGTTCTTCTTTTTCTGTATGAAACCTTTGAATGTGCATTTTTTCTCTTCATCAACACCCATCATAAGCTGCATTAGAAAGATTCCTGGAATGGCCGTGTACTAAGCCAACTGGTAAAAATCCTATTAATTTCTTTCCCATAGGAAATTATATATAAATGTTGCCTGAAAACGTCTCTAACATGACCAATTTATTGTGCATCCACTCATATAGGGCTACCATGCTCTCTTTGTATTCTCTCCATGTGTACATCTGGAACTATTTTTGAGTAATTGAGATATTTTCATGAAGGTTGAGTGGAAGTGTGGTATTATTCAGAACTTGCTGTCAATAGTAGAGCTTCCCAAAGACGAGCTTCTTACTTCTGCTTGGTAGGTGCTAAGGATTTCAGACATCCTGACTACCAGTAAGCAGGAGCTTCACAAGCTGGCACTGTCCCTCCCCAGCAGTACCACCCTGCCCCACTTTGCTGAAAGCTGTAAACAAGGTTGGCTGCACAGTTTCTGAAATTTTGTGACTCAAGAGTTGTAGCACTTGATAAATTAGTATCAGCCCCACCATCTTCATATATCAAATTCTAATCCACATCAGCTGTCACAAAAACCTATGACGTATTGCTGTTGCTTTACACAGACTAGTTTACGTATGAACACCTCAAACCTTTCTTCTCCAACTTTCAGCCCTAGGTAGTCATACAGGAGATTCACAAGTTTAGCCCCAAGGTCATCTTAGGTACATTTTTATTAGCAAAAACAAAAGCAGGTAGTGAACATTTTGAAACGGGTCACATATTTGCATGCAAGCACTTCAATAAATGTGACAAACGTTGCCACCTCATGGACAGGTGCCAGGTTTGATTCAGCTCAGTGGTAGGAAGGAAAAGGGATCGTGGAGATGACTCATTGCTGCCGTTCCACACTCTCCTGAGGGGGAAGCGACAGCTTGGCCAGAAAGATGCTTTTGTCGCTTAGATTCACCTGGAACTCACTCATTCATTTGGGTCTGAATTCAGAAGCCTGGCTACACACCCACAATTGGGCAAAAAAAACCCCAAAATAAGAAAAAGCTACACATGTTCAGGGTAGCTGACCATCTCCAATACCAGAGCAAGGCGGGGAAAGACTGGTGATTTTTCCTTAGAAAAAGCCGTAATGGTTAACGCAGGACATGGCACAGTCTTGTACTGTCAAACAGTCAAAGGGCAGCATCCAGGAGTAAAACACCTGAGTAACAGGCTGTGGGACCTGGAGTTTTCAAGCAGGTGACAGAAATATTCAGATTCATGAAAACAATAATCCCGACCTGGACCAGGGGATTTTAATACCCTGTAAAGGTAGCGGCAGTTGGAAACGCTCTACTTGTAAACTGGAAACAAATGTAATTGTAGTGTATTCCATCACGCATTTCCAATGCTTAAGTTTTATGTTATAACACCACACTGATTATTCACTATTCTGCCTCTTTTGGGGAACTGCTGCAGGAATACTCTGTCACCTGTTGAATTTCTCCCTTTCTGAAGGAAAGGCAGTTGTGCTGTCCTCCTCTACAGGACAGACACTGTTACAAAATCCATTACACAGTGTGTATCTTAAAGTATGTTCCTTCCAAAAGGCATTATAATTAGCACTTAATATAACTGGATGAGCATAAAAGGACTATAGAATGTTAGAACAAATATAAAACCTTTCAAGTTTGACATCACGATAGAACTTTAAGAATCAGTGATTTTTTAAAATAAAGCTTTGTAAAAATAGATTCATAGTCAACATTTATGAATGGTCTGAAAAAAGACAGTATGGTGATTAACTGTGAGTTTCCTATCATCGTGATCTCCATGTAACAGTGTAACAGTCTGCCTACATATGACTGAAGAGAAAGAAGGATTTATACCAGCTTGATTTTAAATATGTTCTTATGTTTATTATATTTTGCTGCTCCACTCTCCTAAAATGGTGGCCTCAGGAAAAGCTGCTTTGGCAGGCAATTGCAAAGATTCCTGTGGAGAGGAAGTGAAAAGACTGGGCATACAAACAAGGGCTGCTGCCATGTTCAAAGCACTGGGGAGAGTTCATAGAGCAAAATGCAGTCCTAAGTAAATGGGTTTCAGGCAATTTCAGTGTTAAGATAACATCATTAGGAGTAGAACAGATTGTGCTCAAACCCTGCTGTTTATAATTAACACATTGCTTCCAAATACTCCAGGGTCCCTGGTAAATAGTCCTCTGCTCAGATCCACCCAGACCAATCAGAGTATTTTCATCAGGATCCATGCTGGGCCAGCACCTGTTTGGACAAATCCAAGAGAGCCAAAATACTCTTCTTTCTGGCCAGCTAAGTAGAGAGATGAACACAGCTTGCCTTAGTCATTGTCACAGTGTCCATATGGCCGCGAAGCTTGTTTTCACAAGAAATCGTACAAGTACTTTATTATGTCGAAGTTCACGGTCCTATAAACAAAAACACAGTATATTAGAGCAATCATCTTAACAGTGCTAAGACTTTAACCTGTTTGGAGACAGCACACGCGGGACATTCTGCACAAGCAAAATCAAGCAATATCCCCAAAAGAAATGCAATCAAGGATGAATAGATTTAACTTCTAGTGGTATTTACAACACCCATCTTCTGATTTTTTAAACTCTGTAAGATAGTAAAAAAGAAATAAAGCAGCTTTCTAGTAAAAACTGGAAGATTCTTATTTTGATCATTAAGCAGTAAAAACATATAAAGTTAATAAGATTATATCTTCATATGGTAAACACAATACTCTAGTTGGTGATGCAAAGCAGCAACCTTTTATGCTACTGAATGTTTTGTTCATCTTCCAAACCACCTGTTTTAGCATGTACTACGTAACTCCTTCATCTATACTCATTTGCAGTCTGCGTTCTTTCAGTCTTGACACTAGTTGACCCATGTTCATAGCTAAATTTGAAAAATCCAAGAATGCCACTCAATGGGATAGAAGATTTTAATGTATACTTTTGTACTTTAATGGCAGGAAGAATAAAACAGCAGTAGAATAAAACATATAATTATTTTTTTGTCTCTAAACTCATTCTGCTATACAATCTAACACTCAGACTTCGGGGTTTACTGTTTGAATAAATTACACAAATTACTGCATATAATGACAAGTATAAAATTAAAAAGTTTTTTTTTAAAGTATTCAATGATGCAAAAATAAATGCTCATAATGCTAAGTGAGATTAACTGACTGAATGTCTTATTTGTTAGACTACAATAATTTAATGTTCTCTGTTCACGTATCATCCTGTAACCCACTTTTCGAAAAGTTTCTATAAAACTTCATATTGGGCAGACAAAAAGTTTAGAAATCCCCAAGATACAGAATAAGAAATAATGTGTTTGAGTCTACTTAATAATTTTATCACTGGATTAAAGAAATTAACTGCCACTGTTTAGACTCACATGACATTGTGTCACTCAAGAGGAGTGCTTTAGTTACAAGGCTTTTGACAGAAACAAAATCACACACACTAACAAATGTTGACCTTATCAACTAAATGAAACACAATTGTCCTGTCATAACAACGGGGTTCATCAGAGACTGTATGAAAAGATCCATTACATCCAGCAAACATTAAGAGATACCTACTTCAGCTACAAGAAAATTTATGAACTTAGGTCTGAAATTCCTAGAACAGAAATGAAAAATTTCTAACAAAGAAACATCTAAACCTACCTTCAGCCAAACGTGTAAATACTACATGGTAAAAAGCATGGGAAAATCTCTGCAAAACCTGAATATATGCAACAGAACAGAGGCAGACACAACGTTCTGTGACACTAAAGAGAGACTGGGCATGGCCAGCGGTTATCATACTAAAAGCCATCAGGAAGAGACACTTAGTTTTCTACTCTTTTTAAAAAACAGGTGGCTTTGTTTGTTTGTTTGTTTTTAAATGCAAATTTCACTTTTACTTAAAAAGACACAGGAAAATGAAATGACAATCTCAACAGCTTGAATGGGGGTGGGGAGAGAGAGCGCATTGTTTTCTGTCCTGCTCTTTGCACTCTTCAGCCTTCCATTAGGAAATATGCTAAGTAGCACGGCTGAGACGGTAAGAAGGCTGAGGTACCTGAAGATTTTAGTTGAGTAACAAACTTATTTTAGTACTATTACAGTAACAGAGGAAAAACAATCACGAGATGGGCTGCTTTACTTGATGTGTATTTTGGTTAAAATGGCAAAGTAGTTCCCTCTCTGCGATAAATATAAACTCTCCCATGAGTGTTTACCATAGGCAGCTGCAAGACTATATAGCACAGCTAGAAATTGAAATTTCTTAAAGCACAGAAGATCATGCCTTTGCCTTCTAGCTAGCCCCATCAAGACAAGGGGGAAGTCCATTTCTCATGGGTTCATAAAACCTTGTATCTTTATGGATTGTCCTCCTTAAAGATTTAACAAAGACTGTGGATTGGAAAAGATACTTAATAAAAGAGGTGTAACAAAGGAACAAAGCAAGAAAAGAAAAAAGGGGGAACAGCAGAAAAGTAGAACAGGCCAACTTTAAAATCTGTCAGGTAATTTAAATGGCCCTATCTAGGCAGCATATAAACACATCCAAACTACTTGGGGGGGGTGAGGGGAAGAATTGTTTTCTTCCCCATAACATGCAGGAAAAGTCAGTCAAGATATATACACACACATCCGACCTAAAGGAAAGCAAGCCAAAACCCTACACCGTGCACTGAGGTTTGAAGCGATAGCATCTCTGACAACTACTTGCTTTGGTAAGCATAAGCTACGTAGCACAAGTTTTGGTCCTGTTTTCTGGCCATCTCTACCTTCTGGCTACTTTACCAGAGTCAATAAAACTTCCAAGGATGTTAAAGTTGCAAGGAGAGGGTCGTCACTTCAAGTATTTTAATTCAAGGACCCTCATGGTCAGTAGAGAGTTTGTGAACTGCTGTCTGTATTCACCGTAGGCGTTAAGAGCAGAGACAAGAACTTGGGGATGTCTGTACACACAACGATCAATGTTGCTGAGCAGATGGTCCCCTGTACTTGGTACCACTGGGAGCTTTTTCAGGGCATCATTCACAAGTGACTTTATTGCTGGGAATAGCGAATTGACATAGCGAAGCTGTAAAGATCCTGGCAGCGTGGTCCAGCCAGGCCAGAACCAGATGAATTTCCATTCTATGGCCTATCCAACTGCAAATTGGAATTAGTGTGTCTGTGGGGTTTACTGACAAGGCTATTGGACATTTAATAGCTCAGGAAAGCAACATGTGCACTGAGGTTATGGGATACAGTCTACACCACAGGTTCCTCTGAAGCCCCTCATTACAGAGAAGAGTTGGCCTTGAGACCATTTCTCCTCCTTTTCGCCACATGTCATTTCTGGTCTCTGTTCTGGCTATAGACTCTTTATCCAAGACCTGCTAATAAGCTGGCTGCAGCAACAGGTGTGAGGTACTGCTGCTAGCATTTCATAAAAATGAGACATAGGCTTGACTGTTGCCTATGTATTGCATGCATTTTGGCCTGTAATTTATCATCACCTCTCCTGATGGACCTGAAATTGTTCTTAGACTCCAAAACTGAAGACTCTGAATGAACAGAGACGCTGAGGTACCTACTTTCATTTACTGAATTAATTTGTATCAACTACAGATCACACAAGATAGACTCTGTGGGAGAATTCTTATAATCTATGTAGTTTTTATATTGTATGTACAACAAATACTGTTAAGAACTAAGTATCATTTCAGATTCAAATACCATAACGTGCCTTTTGGTAATGAAATGGACTGACATTTTAGAGCAGTATTTTTATATGAAGTCCCTGATCTTTATTAAGCACACAGACAGTATGTTACTGTAACACAAACTGCCACTGTAACATAAACATTATTTTCAAAACAGGATTGGACGATACTTACCTGAAGTTCAACACTTCTGATAAATAAGATTAATTCACTCATTCTTAGAAAACATTCACAGACTTACATTCTGGTCTGCGGAGAGCTATAGACTGAGCAAATACTGTATTTGAAGTCTCTTGCAAGTCAGCACATACAACAGTAAATGACCACTATTAGGCTCACCGGGCAATGGCTCTGATGAAGTCCAGAGATACAGTACATTTATACCGTGGTCCATCAAGCTGGTCATTATGGCCAACCACGGATAACAGCTGGAGAGTCACAAGAGAGGTGATCTACAAACAAGAGACATTAGTAATATTAGTAATTTTTGCTAACGTGAACAGCAGCGGCCAATTTTTATTTTTATTTTCCATTTGGCATCATTCTCATATTTCTCTGGGACGTCATTCATGCTCACTGGTTTTCACACGGTTCTGCAGCTAGCAAGCCCAGGAACATATATACCTTTTCACCACTACATTTTCGGCACAGGCAGTGAGAGTCACAGGCTAAACCCTTCATCCTTTGTATCAAGAGTTATCCCGGAGTTCTGATTAGAGAGAGAGCAGTGATGCGGGGAACAGGAATAATAGGCATGAGCTGAACATTTTCCAAATCTCTGCCTGACCACCAGGAGAGATTTCGATTCTCTTTCCTTTATACCTGAAGACCTCCTCTTGAACTTTCACACTCATTGGACATTCCTGTGCCAGCTCATACCACATTTTGAACAGATGGATGTATCACACTATTCCAGATAAAAAAAGAAGTTGAAGGTTGGGAAGGAAAGGCTGGAAGATTGCGTGCTTAAAAAAAGCAGGGCCTGAAAGCAGTGAAATTTGCCTACAAACACACATACAGTGTCTTGACAGAGCCATTGATTATTTTACCAAAATAGCAATGTACCAGCATATTTTTCACTATCTTCGTTCCTCCAAATGACAACTGCAGCATCACTGAAGTGCAGTCATGGGAAGTCACCATTCCGTGAAACCAGTCTGTTCTACCTCAGTCAGGGGAAAATGCTGGGGTGATTCCACTATCTCCCTACCTTCTCCAGCTCCCAGGCAAAAGGAGGAGGTAAAAGCAGAAAAGATGAAAAATTTTCCCTGGCCTTTGCTATAGATGCCATTGACAATTCAAGGCAACAAGGTTAAATTCTACAAAGAACTGGTATCTGACCGCAGTTCTACTTTTAACCATGACCTACCTCTGTGTAATGATAATAGCATAGTAAGGAATTTATGAAGAATAAATATATCAGGGGAGAGAGTGTCAGTTCAAACCTTCAAGGAAGCACACTGCTATAAAAAGCAGCAGCAAGTTCTTACCACTATCAATAATAAAAAAAAAAAAATCCTAACTCAGTGAACTTGGTCTTCAAATTTGTGACAGTTCTTGTAGGAGGTAGGAATAATTATTAAAATTTTCCCTTAAGTGGACATAGCATAAAAAAATTACACCTACCTGTAAAGAATAGAAAAAATTACGGTCACCAAGAATGAGGTGAATAAAGAATTTTTGTAACAGCCTGTGCCTAACTTTCTTTTATATGGCATTAGACAACAATAGTTTGGATGCCAGCATTCTGCAAAGTCTTTGGAGTTCAGTTAAGGAAAACTGGCCTACCCATATTCACAAAGACAAATTCCATTTACTTAATTCAGGTCTATACATTACATTAAAGAGTAGCACATGATTTACAAATTGTTAGCATTGACAGCATTTAAGAAAACTGAACTCAGTATACGGTCAATGGCTCAAAATCCAGTCCATGAATCACTTTGAGCATATCACTGAATTGGGATCAACCTCAAACTTGTTAGGTGTTTATTTTCTTAAAATACTCATGAGTTTGAGAACACGTTTTTCTACATTCTTCATTCAACAAAGTCCTTATTCAGTCAGCAAAGAAGCGTTATGGAGTAATCTGCTGTAACAATTGCTATTTTACACCCCAGTGCACCATTACTGGCAAATCACTTCTGCAATACATACTTGCAGCTGGCCTCACATTCAGAAATCACCAACGAAGGAATGGCAGCAGGCTCCTAAAAGTTCCAAATGAACACAGCAAAAGCCTGGGTAGTTTGAAACTGGACCCGTCTCAGTTGTATGTGGGATGTAAAAGTGACCTTGCTGCTGCACTGCAAATACTCCAGCAATACTTTAACAACAAATTTCAACCATTTTCTTTTCCAACTATCACCAAATGCTATGTAACACAAGGTCAGCAATGTACAATTTCTTACTAAAGGCTCACTCAATAAATCTGAAATAGCACCAGACTTGATACTAAGTTTCATTAATGTTTTTGACTCAAGACATTAACTCTAAAGACTCTATACAATATTGCAAGACAAATTAAGCTATTGGTCATGAGAGTAACACAAACTTACTTAGCAAACTGTAACCCTTTACTCATTTAACAAATCTTCTATTTATTTAGCTCAATAAAAATGTCATCACAGGGAATGAGTGTTGAAACAGTGAGTCCTAATCCTGAGATTGCTTAAAAAGACAGAAGTAGAGATGCATGCGGTTAAGAAACAGTTTTATCTCCAAAGAGGCTTGGAAGAGACAAAGAAAGAATACAACTAAGGGGAATAAATAGGGACCAGCTCCCCTACAAACTGCCAAACGTTAGAAGCTAAAATGTCTAACTTATGAGTCTTTGGAGCAGAATTCAAAACCTAGTTACAGATGCTAGTCTATAAATGGTGAAAGGTAGAGATCTCTGGAGGACAAATCCAAAAGCCTGCATGCTGAGGGGCAGCAGCCTGGAGCTCTGTCTGCACAGTTTTTCCAAGGGGTTAAGGGAGAATCGAAAACAGCAAGAGTTGTGTCACCCCAAAGCAATGACTTCATTTTTTCCTGCTTTATACAATATAGTGTGATTCTCCCGCTGATGAGTCAGCCACTAAACTGGGCAACACATGTATTTTTTGCAATAAATTGCTTTGTCAGAAGAGAAGATTTAGTTTTGGTAGAGGTGGAATTAAGTTCCTCAAATATTTTGCCCTGAACCACACTTTCTAGACCCCATTCATAAAAGGAAGATTCACCATTCCACCAAATCGTTAAGAAGTCTTCTAGGACACAGAAGGTTTGATTCCCTCCTGCCACAAGAGGTTTGAGCACCTCTTCGGTGAACATCTAACAGCTAGCTGGGGTGGGGGAAACAGAGGAAGGAAGAAAAAGCTATACAAAACCTGCTTTTGAAGCTGAGCTATTTTGCATTAAATTGCATCCATATAACAGTCTCTCTCTGTGCCTACTTTGGGCACTCACCCAGTAAAGCAGGATGCAGTGGAATGAAGTGGGTTTAAGACAGTGTACTTGTAGCAAAATTTAAAAGTTACCAATTTTCATGTTCTGTTAACTCTTAAGGTCCAAGTGCCACCTATACCTTAAGCACTGAAAAAATGTTATTACTTCAAGATTTCAGGTGTTGTAAAACTTTGCAGGCAATCTGTTCTTAAATGAAGATATGTCAGAAGTTTGAAACACAGTTAGGAAAAATATAAATGCAATGTCAAACTAATTGTACTTCTTAGCAAAAAAAAAAAACCTTTTCAAAGCTTTTTTTTTTTTTTTTTAAATACCATGGGTACAGTGGCTCCATTTCATTATCACAAAAGCTTGGGAAAAAACATCTGGCAAGAACAGACTAGAAACAAGCCAGAAAAACTGTGTGGGTGACATACGAAAGAATATTTATGGAGAATCTTTTGAACAAAACAAATTACAGTTGGAAGAAATATTCTAAAGCTATTCATAAAATTAAAGTTAGATCTGGTAATGATTTAATACCAGCAAAAGCTAATAAGTAAATGGAATTTCCTACAGGAATAACAAGAAAATCTGAAGATAAGTTACTGATCTGAAAGATGCGAAGAAACAGGTGCCACTGATATGTTTAAAAATAAGCCAAGTCTCATCTTTTTCTGAGATATATTTGTGCGAGAAACCTGCTGCTGAGAGCTTGGATGCAAGGTGAGAATAACCATAAAAGCACAGCTGAGAGTTGCTGCCAGTAGGAAATGACTGCTCAGATTGCTTCTGGAGATTCACTGGTCAAATATGGACATTGAAACCTCTGGAAAAAACAAAGCAACCCACAAGCCTTCCTTAAAGGCTGCTTTTTTCCTGCCAGCCTAGACTAACAGATGGGCTTTGCATCATTCCCCGAGCAGACACAAAGACCGGCTTTGTCAGCACACGGCTGCATGGAAGCGAGGATTCCAGAAGTGAGGGCTGTCTGCTGAGAAAGGCCAGGCTCTTCCCAAGGACACCATGAGAAGCCAGAAAACATATGCGGAGGTGCAAAACATAAGCAGAGTTAGGACCCAAGATACAGTGAAACACATGGTTTGTTTGGGTAAGCAGTGATTGATTATCACAGGAAAGAGTCCGGACAACATGTGTACTGCATCTCAAATCCATAGGATAAAACTGAAGAGTGAAAATGATGCTGACTATTGGGTGGGGAAGCTGTTTCCTCAGAGATGCGACTGAAACCTCACCAAGTGGTACATTTTTAACTGGACTAGTATACTAATATACTAACAAAAGACACGAGTAGAAACAATCTCAAACTGGCAGGGACATACTAGATGATCTGATTTTTCATCTCCACAGTCTACAATCCTCAATTATCTTGCCCAAGTTGCAATGTTAGTTTTAACTCTTCAGTCTGGCTTACTTTCAACCACAGCTTTAATCTGTTTTACGATTCTGAATCTCAAACCTATCAAGAAATTAAGAACTTTCATTATTTCAGTACCATCAGACAATAGGAATGTATTCTCTCACAGTCATATTAAAATTTCTACTCACCCTAGCGCTTTGCAGCACCATCATCACACGGTTCTCAAAGCAAACACGCAGCTCACTGCACTTGTTTGAAACCCACCACTGCCAGGAGTTATGTTCATGCACATGCTAAAAACACTGCTATGCAACAAGACAGTTTGGAAACCAGATGTCATTTAGAAAACACATTTCTGTCAAAATGACTGCCAAAATAGTCTCCTGGAGTTAAATTCAATGACCTTAGTACAAATTATGTGAGCGTAAAAAAAACCTGCTCAAAACGATTTCAATCAAAATTATAGCTAGAGTACGCTCAGTATGTCAGCCTTGTTAGAAAAGCTCACAACAGAAAGGTAACAAAAAAAGATTACAATTATATATATTTAAGCCAGCAATTGACCAAAACTGTTTTTATGAGAATTATTAAAAAAAATCAACACTTTTCTGAACGCTTAGATTTTAAGAAACAGGTTTTGATTCTGAATTATGTTTTGTGCAAGGCTTTTAATGCATGGAAAAAATACGACAGAAGAGACTGCAATTGGTGATA